AAGTGGAAAAAGATGGCAAGCTACCATTCCTGGATGTTTTGCTCTAGAAGAGGCCTGATGGCTCGTTGGGACATTCCGTCTACAGGAAAGCCACCCACACGGATTCCTATTTAAAGCCTGACTCCCACCACCATCTGGCCCAGAAGAACACTACACCACTGCATCTCCGACCAGCGCCACCGAGCTAGTGAATTGGAGCACGTACACCAAGCCCTCAAGATGAATGGATACTCAGACCGCACAATCCGCAAAGCTGTATCCCCAACTATGGGGAGACAACCATCACCTTGCCATACGTAGCAGGTGTTACCAAAAATATTTCCAAAATCTTAAACAAACACAAGAGCCAGGTCCGATTCAATACAGTACACAAAATCCGTGATTTGATCCCATTTGTGAAGGATGTCATTCCTGACATGCAATACCCTGGTGTCTACAAACTAAGTTGTGTCTGCAGTAGCAGTTACATTGGGAAAACAAAACGACATGTCTCGGACCGTGTTCGCGAACACAAGGCAGATTTGAAACACGGCAGAACCAATACCTCTGCCGTGACTGATCATTGTTATAACGCAGTGGGCTCCCACGATATTGTTTATTTCGAGACCAAGGTACTCTCAAACCTTCGGGCTGCCATCAAAGATTTCTCCATGAAGCCATTCAGATATATAAACACGGAGACAATTTCAACCGAGAAGATGGGTATAAGCTTATCAATCATTGGAAGGACGTTATTAACCAAGCAAAGTCGTAACTTGCTGTGGTGCTTCAATTTTTCCCTGCCGTTTGGCTGTTATCTCCGACTCTCTGCGTTGCATTGCCCTGTTAGGTGCCTCTCATTAACGGGCTGGGGTCTCACTAACATGGCCATCTCTGCTCCCTTCGCCTCGATGTATCGATGCTTCTGGCTGTGTGATGGGCTGTGTCTCTCACTGGCGTGACCACCGTTGCAGTAGTTCTCTTGTGTGAACGCGCTTGCCTCTCACAGCGCAGTTGGCAGCGCCGCAGCTTGTTTCACACACAGACATGACATTAACTTGCTAATCCCCCGAATCTCTCTGCCTAATCTCTTCCATCAACATAGTGCTAATCTCCCAATAACACTGCTGATGTGTGCATATGTGGGGACAATACTCTTATATGGTGACGGAAGTTAATTTCATGCTAATCTCTCTCCCTAATCTCCCCCATTAACACAACTGATGTGCTTGCGTGCGGGGATGGAATTCCTTTCCAGCTCAGACCCCGCCTGCTTGCCCTTCACCACGTATATAACTTCTTGTTGTAACAGCTCTCTCGATGTGTTCTTCCTAGTTTCAGCAGTTCCACTGCTTGTGTTGCGATCAAAACGTCGTGATTTATTTTATTTAATTTTTCTACCTACGTGACTTTACCGAAAGAACCAAAGAGTATGAAAACAAATTTAGAAATTGTAAATCAAATGTTTTTCATTTGAGCCCCAAAACTTTGGAATGAAAATTGAGAATTGTTTGTGACTAACAGTAATATGTTTGTGATTGTTTTAGCCTAAGCATGTCCCAGTTTGCATCTAGATTTTTTCAAGGCTGTTAGTGTTAATTACAAAATAAAAATAGAATTTTCTCCATTGTTGGTACTTTATGAACAGTGTAATGCAGGCACTCGCATGTTTTAAAGTGAGCAAGCCCATTTTGACTACTTGTAGGAACACAGTCCATATATTATGGAAGTGCCCAGCTCAACAAATGAAAGAGCATTTAGTTTCGTCTTAAGCTGATGCATGCCCAAGTACATTTCCGCACCTCCGATTAGCACAGTTGGCTACATCCAGCGGCACATAGGTACATACACAAATGGGTAGACACAACCACCGCACCACTACTGATGTACATATGTTCAACACGTACATAGAGTCCACATACAAATGTACACCCACTCTGCCAGCCATACTTACACCTTTACCCACTGCACTGTGGGAATCTCTACCAGCTGAAAGCATTTTCTGCGCAATGGCTTTGGAAGCCTAGACATACAGTGTATTAAATATTAAGTATCTAATTTCATGTTATGGTTTTTCTCTTTTCAAAGTAACCTTATTTTAGAAGGCTTTAATTATGTTTGCAAGCGGAATTTAACGGGTGGGCTGTGAATGCTACTTAATTATTGAACAGTTTAACTTCCTTCAATTTGCCTAAACCACTTGAGTTGCGAATGTAATTGTGCAGTTGCAGACACTGGGAGGGCACACACTGCCATACTAAACACATCGTCTCTCCAGCACTAAGCACACTGTGTGAACTCAAGTGTGTCTGGTGTGTGTTATATAATAATATATTTTCACAGTTGCTAAGTACAGACTTAAAGACTAAAAACGGCAATTGGCCAGCAGCAAACAGTGCTCTTGAGGGTTATCTAACCTATAAAAGGCATTTTTGTCTGTCTGTGTGTCTGTCTGTGTGTGGCTGCAACTTGCAAAGGATTTGGCTCGCAAACCGTGGGGTTCACGTTTAAAAAAAGTTTCCAGGTATCACGCGATAAGCCCTGTGGTGAACCAGCCCTATTCCGATTTCACATCCATCAACTTTAAAGTACTTTAATTACCAATTTAGAACTATTTATTATTATTTGTTTATTTCCTTACACCGTATTCTTTGGGTCTTTCTGTAAAATCACGTAGATAGAAATAAAAATGAAAATATCATGACATTTCGATCGCAACGCAAGCAATCGTCATCAGGCTTAGCACACGCCAAAGCATGCATCTCGCATGCACACCCCCTAGCGACGCGCACGTGTTCGGTGGGGGGGGATTCTCATTCACGTAAAAAATGCAACAAGAAAAATACGCAAGGCTGAAGTACATTCTTCAAAGTGTGATTTCCTCCCCCCCCCCCACCACAATATGTGCAATTACTACTATAGGGTCAGTAGATACTAATATTATAGAGCTTATGTACTATTATTGTAGAGTGGGCGGGGGGATGGTGGGAGGGGTAGCGGCTCAGCCCCAGCCTGCCAAGGTGCCACCTCGGTCGGCTGGGCAATCTAGGCGAGGTCGGGGGTTCTGCACGGGACTAGGCCTCACCACTACACTCTGTGAAGTGAGAACTATTGTAGAGTCGATATAGACTATTATAGAATCAGTATATACGACTATAGAGTGGGTAGATACTACTGTAGAGTGGGTAGGTCCTACTGTACAGTTTGTAGGTACTGCTACTGTAGGGCAGGCGGATTGGAGGGGCGGAGGAATAGCAGCCCAGCCCCAGCCTGCAGAGGACTAGGCGAGGCCTAGTCCTCTGCACAAGACTAGGCCTCACCACGGCACTGTTAAGTAAGTGCTATTTTCTTGCTTCTTTCGCTAAACTCACTTAGATAGAAAAGTAATATTTCAAAATTAAGTTAGGAAATATTAAAATAATAATGTGTGTGTCTAAGTCCATGTGTGCGTGTGAGTCGATGTGCGTGTGTGCATCGATGTGTGTGTGTTAGTCGATGTGTCTGTGTGTGAGTCGATATGTGTGTGTGTAAGTCGATGTGTGTGTGTAAGTCGATGTGTGTGCATGGGTCCATGTGAGTGTGTAAGTCCATTTCTATGTGTGTGTGTAAGTCCATGTGTGTGTGAGTCGATGTATGTGTGTGTGTAAGTGAAAATAAATACAAAATTGTGTGTGCGTGTAAGTCGATGTGTGTGTGAGTCGATGTGTGTGTAGGTAAGTCCATATGTGTGTGCAGGTCGATGTGTGTGTGAATCTATGTATGTGTGTGTGTTTCACTCCGAATCAATCGAGCGGCAATATCTTTTGTTGCGTAATGCTGTGTGGAAGCTACCTGGTCTGTCGCTCCGCACGAAGCTGCAGGTCTTCTCTACCACGGTCATTCCCTCCCTTCTCTACGCTTGCAAAACGTGCACCCCCATAATGGAACATCTTCACCGGTTAGAAACATTTGGGCTGGCCTGCCTACCATCCATCCTGGGTTTACCCAGGCTGGATTGTGTGAGAAGCTCACAAATCCTTGAAAGATCTGGACAAAGTCCCATCAGTGAGCTCCTCCGGCAGGCAAGGCTGCATTGGCTGGGTCATGTAGCCCGCATGCCCAGCCACCGCATGCCTAAACAGCTTTTGTTCGACCCGATCGAGGGGGCATAACGGGCACGGCACAGGATAGAGAAGAGATGGAGTGATGTGGTACAGGAGGATGTGGAGCTGAGTGGACTTGCCAATGACTGGTACCAGCAGTGACAAGATCGGCCTCTGTGGCGGAGGCTCGTGAAGGATACTACTGGGCAGTTGGAGGAAGTCGCCCTCCAACAACAATGGAGGGCGGAGGAGCGACGCTCACAACAATTAGCGGAGTGCCGGGTGGCTAAAGCACAGCAAGTTGGCACAGTAGGGGGCACAAGTGGTGCATCAGCCAGTCATCTCAGTCAGTCGACCTGTGGCCAGCGGGCGTTCGACACTTCACGTGGCCTCAAGGTGCACATAGCCTGGCACAAGCATCGTGGTGACGTCACCACCACTAGTGGCGAATGGCGGTTGTTGTTGTTGTATGTGGGTGTGTGAGTCGATGTGTTTGTGTGTGGGTCGATGTCTGTGTGTGTGTAAGTCGATGTGTGCGTGTGTGTATTTTTCGCCCGGGCAATGCCGGGTACATTCCTGCTAGTAATAGATAAGAGTAATGGGTTTCTTTAAGTCCAAAAGTGTATCAGAAATTTGGAAAAGAGACGATGAGAGGGAGTCGAGCAGTGTGATGAAATAAACAAGTGATTGAACCTGCAGTAGTTCGCAAACGCGTGTGTGAGTGGGTGAGTGTTGTTGTGACCTGCAGTGTGTTAGTTCAAAACAGTATGGGTGAGACATAAACAGTCAGTATAGTAGACCGTTTCCTCAACATGGGTGGAGGAATTAATGATTGGATTTCATGGGAATAGCTACGATTTCAGTAGCGAAAAGAAGAGTGATTATGGGGTGACAGCTTGATGGTGAGTGACTGGTGTGAATCGCAATATAGTAACTCACCTGTCGCACCTCCAGGCGGTACTCAGTGACTGGGTCCACAGCTGTGGGTTCAGCTTGAGTCCACTGCACCAGGTATGAGTAGACCCAGAGATGCTGTAGGTGGACTGGCGACGGATTGTCGTAGTAAAATTCGGGGGCATGTGCCCTTCCTTCCCCAAACACAAGCACCAGCGCACACTCTGAGTCACCCCTGTTTGTCTGCCACAATGGGCCTTGTTCACGCGATTCTATATAACAAGAGTCAAAGGTCAAAGTGACGCCCCGCTCAAATGAGAATGTAGGTGGTGCTCATCTTCTGTTGTGGAAATTACACGTTCCCATGTCGGGGGTAAGCCTATCCGTAAGATAACCACTGTTGACACAAAGTGGGACACATTTTATCAACCCCAGTGGGATGATCAGCTGAGTCGTACCATCGAATCATAAATTGAACTCCCCCAACGACCGATTGTGAGCCACCTGCTCCACCACTGGGCTATGGCTGAGTTTGAATTAGTTGTAGGATTAACTCAATCAACATCGTGTTCATATGCATTAAGTAACTTACCATTACACAAAAAGTGAAATGTTTATATTTAATGGCTGCCACTGATGCTGCTAAGTTACATCCTGATTACAAATATGTATTTGGATAAAATCCATCACATGTAGCTTGTTCTGAGTAAACATGTATTAACTGCATTCAAACACATCTATTAAAAACATATAAAGCAGTTGCATATGTTTTTGCCTGTTCATGAGCAGAATAAGCTCTTTGGCAGGACATTTTAAAGTATAGTATCGAGTTTATTTTGTTTAACCTGGCAGTGAGAACCCAAGAGACCAAGATGAGTCTCAATTTAAAGCTTTCGTGACTGCAAGGATTCATCCTCCCTGGTTCTTTCGGTAAAGTCACGTAGAATGAGAATAAAATAATAAATTAATAAAATTAAATAACACAATAAAATTCTCACGACGTTTCGGCCACAACACAAGTGGCCTTCTTCAGGTGAAAGGAACAGACCTGTCGGGACGACATTCTACGTGACTTTACCGAAAGAACCAGGGAGGAAGATGAGTCTCATTTGAAAGAATAACTTGAGTGACCAAGATGGCAACAGCAATAATATAAAAAGATGTACAAAAATGAAGCGTGTGTATTATAATCAGAGCAAAAACAACTAAATAGAAACCATAATAAAAAGAACCAAATATAAATCAGAGCAAAAATAACTAAATAAAGATCAGAGCAGAGACAACCAAATACGAATCAGAGCTTCAACAACTGAGTTACAGTAGAAATATCCAATATCAAAAATTGGCTTTGACAAATTATATTTAAAAAAGCATTCATAGTTACCGTATGTTAGGTTATCATCCATTCTGTTGATTCACCAAACAACTCTGTACAAGTAAAGTGTGAATTAGCAAGCCGGTAATTGAGTGTTTTCGGCTCGTGGGCTAACCTGTCAGGGTAAACACGCAGCTGGTGGAGCCGGCCTCATTGGCCAGGATGCACGAGTAGCTCCCATAGTCGTCGTTCGAGAGGCTTGAGATCCTGTGACTCGAGAGAAACCCACCCGAGTCAAGGCGGCTCGTCGCCAGCACCTACTCCATACACACCCCGACGTTGCGAACATTGAAACTCGCGTGACATTTCAGCATAGACAACAACAAACAACCTAAAAAGTAATGATCCATTATAGTACCGTATCAGCATATATCGTCATCTTCAGCCATGAATAATCCACTACTAAATGAAGGCTTCTCCCAAGACGACGCCACCTTTCACGGTCCCGCCAAGCAACAATCCATCCAGCACCTGCACAATCCATCTACGGGACATCTGTGGGAAAAATAGCTTTTAATAGCTCATCAGATTCCTCCAGTGTAAATAAATATTCAGATTCAGATGACTGATTTCATCGCTTCATCTCCTAGGTGGGCATACTCTTCCAATTTATTCCATTCCTTAGCTGCCACACCGTTGCTATTCCTGACCATCGTCTTTTCTAATAGCGAGTCTTGCTCAAGCCTGCAAACTATCCGGTGTGCTCCTCTTTCTGTCTCTGCATGTAATTCCACGTTTCTTTGCACATGTTTTTGTTAATATGGCGCCACGGTGGCGAGGATATGTTAACTACCTCGCGTGGTGGTGGGTTCGATCCCGACCCTGACGCCTGCTGTATATTTGGAATTTGTGTGTCTCTCTCCCCGTGGTCGCGTGGATTTTTCTCCATATTAAGAAACATGCGTTTAGAGTATTTGACTGCTATAAATTTCCACATGTTAAGACACTTAGTTGAGCTGTAATTTATGGCCAGATCGCTTCTGAAAAAGAACTATGTAGCTCAGTGGGCCTTACCTGGTCAAATAAAACATAGTTTCGTTGCATTATGGTAAAGCCTCGACATCCACAAGGGGTTGGTTCTTGAAAATCTGCGTGAAAGTAGGATTCGCGTGTGTAGACAATCTTTATTTGGGAAACGGGATTTGTTCCCGTGTCTGACTGAACATATGGGAGAAAATGGAAATGTTTCATAACAATAATCCTGTGCTGTACACATAAATACATTAATATCTCAGGCGACCTCCTTTGCCAGTACCAAAATATGAGAATAGGTTTTCGCCTTTTTTCTGGCAACAAACAGGTGTTAAGATGTTAAAACACAATACTTGTGGTCAGAATGCCAACAAAAAACATACTCTGATAATATATGCATTACATTTTTTTTTAAAGCTTTCATGACTGCAGTTATTCATATTCTTGGTTCTTTCAGTTAAGTCACGTAGAAAGGAAACAATAAATTTTCTTGCTGTGGTTTTCACACCTGATGATGATTGCTTGTGTTGCAGTCGAAACGTCGTTAGAATTGTATTGTTTTATATTTGTATTATTTTATTGTTTCCCTTCTACGTGACTTTGCCGAAAGAACCAAGAATATAACATATGCATTGTGTTTGAAACTGATTGGTCCACACCAGAGACAGTTTTCTTTTGAGCCTTCTCTCAAAACGGTGTTAGACCAGAGGACGCCACCGTTTTGAGACTAGGCTCAAAATAAAGCTGTCTCTGGTGTGGACTAATCAGTTTCAAAGACAATGCATATATTATCAGAATATGTTTTGGTTTGCATTCTGACCACAAGTATTGTGGTTAATGCAGACATGATTCCTTGTAAAAGATTTCAGTTAGATGTTCTAACATCTTAACCCCTGTTTGTTGCCAGAAAGAATGGGAAAACCTATTCTCAACATTCATATACGTATTTAAAATGTATAATAATACAATAGCTCATGGAACAAATAATACAGCAACATAAAATAGAGAAAATTAAATAAAACAAATTATACTGTAAATTTGGAAGGTTTATTTCCCTTGGATGATGGTGGGGGTGTGATGATAATCAGCTGAGGCACCGCCACCATGACCAAGTTTACCCTACAACTCTACTTTTTTAGCTAAACTCATCAATTTTTTTTCTGTCCTTTATGCTCGTTCTCACTTCCTCCACTCACTCGACGCTTCGACCCCATGATCGAAGTAAAACAGTGCTCCGGTACTGTGCAGGTACCCCTCCCCGTGATGCGATGTTGCTAAATCGCAAATAGTTGAAGGGAAAAGGTGCATAAGCTGAACTGGTATACAAATATAAAATAGCAAATAATCTAATCTCACGAAAGAAAAATCTGCCAATGAAGAGGTTTGACTATGTATAAATTATCCGCGTGTGGTTTATCCAATTTGCGGATTAGCCGTGCATCTGAGATTTTGGCACCAATTAATAACTCATGAATTTTCCCTTAAGCCCAAATTAATAATGATCTAAAAACAGCTTTACATTGTTATTCGTGGAAATGTGCATGACAAGTAACGTGCTTAAACCGAACAAAGGTATATTATCCGAGATCCATGTGATCGCCTCCACAGTGCAGTAGTTGCATATCCTTACAACAGTGGGCAGAGTTTGATTGATTTTGATTGGCGTGGCTCTGCTATCGACTTTGTGGGCTGAGTATTTTGCGTAAGAGCAAGAGTGTTATCACTGAGCACGGGCATCGATCGGTCGATATGAGTTGTTTTTGGCAAAGAGATCCGAGGAGAATGGATATTTTTGGATTATAATTATCCATAATTTTGAATTATCCGTGGCCATCCTCTCCACAATTAGCACAGATTATAATTGACAGTTTTGTACATAAATTTTGATTTACAGCTTTCATGGCTGCAGGGATTCAAATTCTTGGTTCCTTCGGTAAAGTCACGTAGAAGGGAAACAATAAAATATTGTAGTGTGTACCTCAAGAGGCACACACAGAATTCTGGAGGCACCACGATTTATTCACGACCGAACAGGGCTACGGGTTAACAATAATCGGGGTTACTCTAGACCCCCAAAGGGGTCTCTATGTAAACTGAGTCCCCGACGACCGACGGATGCTCCAAAACCCCTGAAAGCAACGCCGCGTGGTTAGCTCCTTCCACCAAAACCCCGATCGCTCTGCCCCCGTCCCTCTTATCCTCCCGGGCGTGGCCGCACTCGGCCTCCGGCCACGCCCCTTGCTCGGTCTCTCGAGACAGAACTGGAGCCAGCGTCACATGTCCTCCGGGCCCCTGTTTCCGGGCCCCCGTTTCCGGGCCCCCTTCACTCCCCTGAGTTGGCACGTCACCTCTCTCTCTCTGCGACGGGACCCTGCGCTGTAGGGCCTGCTTCTCCGCCACGTCTCCGTCGGCTCCCTCGAGAGCTACGTGCACCCTCCTTTACCAATTGTAGTTGTAGTCGGCATATACGCCGTAGAGACGCTATTTATGTCTCTACATCACCCCCCCCCCCTTTTATGAAACTCAGCCATCTCGGCTGACCGACATATAACCAATGCAACGTGTGGGCCTCCAACTTATAATGCAACAAAAGAACAACAAGAACAAAAGTAAATAATCCTGAACGAGGAAAAACCAATATATACACTATATACAGGACCAGGGAGAGAAGAAGAGTAGGAGGAAGAGAGAAGAGAAAAAAAACTTAGTTGCAACTATTTACAATGGACGAGCCACCCCCCGGAAATGCCACAACTACACCTCACACATGCAACACTGCACTTGAGCACAAGATGAGCCCGGGTCAGCTATTGACCCATCTGGCTCAAGTGATGGCCGCGGACCACTGGTGTAGGCGCACTTTGACCCTGGAGGATGGTCATTTAAAACGAGCGGTCTTTGCCCAAGTCCTTTATGCCAGGCCATCAAGCCAAGAGGGTGCAGGTCCACTAGAGGCTTTGGGGGCAGCCGGAAGATGGCTCGACGAGCACAGTACCTCCTGAGCCAAAGAACCCCCATGTGGTAGGGGGTCGGGTGATGGTGGCTCCAGACTCCCCCGTTCCCCCCGGGCCGGTAGGACCGGTGACGTTAGTCCCATTAGGCGCTTGGACCCCGCAGGCGGAATGATAGAACTGTCCTGAGGAAGGACGTCAGCCGTTCGCGCGCCCCAGCTCATCGGGCTGACCAGACACCCGGTCCTCGGGTGTCTAACGGCAGGTGGAAAATTTTTTTTAGCCGCGACGGGTACACAAACCAGTGGCGGCGAAAAAAACTGAATCGACACACACTGTGCACTCCTCACCTCCGCCACTTCGACCGGCCCATGCCATGGTTTATGTAATTTCGGGGAGGTACCCATCGGGACATGGGGGCAGTGGAGCCATGCCTTGTCCCCTGTCGTCCATATGGTAGTGGACTGGCGAGGCTTGATGAGCCGTTCGTTGGCCGCCTGCCGAAGGCCAAGTTCCCCAAGGACGCCTCCCTAGCTTCTGCCAATCGCTGTAGGGTAAGCCGCATGGGGTTCGATATCCTAGTACAATTCTCCAGTGGATTGAGCTGCACATCAATTGGTGGGTCACGTTCCCTTCCATACATTAAAAAGAACGGAGAAAACCTGGTAGAACCGTGCGAGGTGGAACTGTATGCTGCGAGCACGCCTGGAATAAGTAAGTCCCAGTCAGACTTTGCTTCATTGACACGTTGGCACAACATCGAAGTCAGGGTTCTGTGTAGCCTCTCCACCATGCCGTCCGTCTGGGGGTGATAAGGCGACGTGCGCACCTTTTTGATACCCAATTGTTCACAAACCTCCTTCAACAGCTTGGTTGATTTTTTTTTGCCTTGGTCTGTCAAGAGATGTTCAGGCGCATCTGTATCTAATACATAGCCATGAAGGAACACGTCTGTGATGGTCTCAGCTGACTGGTTTGGTAATGGCCAGGCCATTGGCCAATGTGACAAATACTCCACCCCCACCAATAAGTATTTATTCTCCCACAGAGTGGTGGGGAATGGACCGAGAACATTGAGCGCGACAAGTTTTGCGGTGGGCGATCTGCTCTCGGTGGAGGTTTGCGGCGAGCGCATTCCATGAAACCTTGCAGCACATCATAAACGTCGTTGGCCATGCCCGGCCAGAAAATTTTCAACTTTTAGAGTAGCCAAAGTTTTTTGAACATCAAGGTGCATTAGCTGCTCATGCTCCGCCTGTATAACCTTCCCCCACAGAACAGAGGGCACCACCATGGCGTATCGATGGGATTTCTCATCCCATTTGATCGGCAAG